GATTGAGCAAGTCTTAGACCTGGTTTCTGTCTCTTCCTACTCATTCAGGCTTATTCCTACTACTTTTCTAGAAGCTTGACCTGGGGTGGACGACTAGTCGTGAGGACTCACAGATCTGCAGGCAAGTGCTCCTTTAACCACAGGATGGGCCTCCTCAAGTATCTCTTACTCAAACTACAAGCAAGAGGGATGGTAGCCCAGAATCAGTTTTCTTTCCTCTTTGTGGTATAAATCTTTATATATTTAAGACAGGGATGCAGAATTGAGACAGAGCAGATTTATTATCATCACAGGGTTCCTTTTCCCTTCCCCATCCAATCATCCAGGTCCGGGGTCCTTGGTCAGTTGGCAGGTTCAACCTGGGGGCCACTGAAGCTGTCGGCCCCCAAGTACGTGAATGTGCAGGTGATATACAGACTGTGCGCCAAGCTTGCCATCGTTGATTACTGAAATAGAGCTTGGGGTTAGGGGTCAGGATCATGGGAAAGGTCAGGGAATGAAGATCATAGTGAGGATTAAGAATGAGAATTCATAGGTGAGGGGCCCAAGGGCCAAATGTCACTCACCAAGTCGATATCCATCTCTTAGGCCCTCAGCCTTTGCTACCTTTTTGGCCACAAGGAGTAGGTGTCCTAGAAGCTATAGGGAGAGGGGAAAGACATATGTGGCTTCATTCACAGGGAGTAAAACCTCTACCTGAATCCAGCTAAAGCTCTGTTCTTCCCACCTGCTGGTCTTCTTCTTCAGCCTGGCTAATCCGAGGAATGGGCTTCTTAGGAATGACCAGGAAATGCACAGGAGCCTGAGGGGCCACATCACGGAACACGAGGCACTGGGAGCAGGAACAGGCCAGAGGCTACCATGTTACTTCCACAGGCTGATGGCATCTATGAAATTCCTAAGGGGATGGGTACTAAGGGCACTACACCTGCTGGTCCTCAAATAGAATGTCAGCTGGGAGGCTTCGGTCCAGGATCCGGGAGAAGATGGTTCGAGCTGCTCCACCAGGAGCTGCCTGCTGGGCCTTGGCCACTTCATTCCCATCAGTCACACCTGCAACTCCTCGAACCTGAATGTGGGTCAGACACACCCAAGGGAAGCAGTTGGCAATCCCTCTCCCATGTACTCAGTTGGGGCTGGCAGAAGCTGGGCTCTGATAGTTCATAACTTTGTCCTAAGAACCTTTTAGTCGTTCCCACCCAAGGGAAAAGTTCCTGAATTTCAGAGCATCAGCAGCAAAGAGTAGGGCCAGACGGTGCTGGGACTGGTTAAATAACAGGCAATATTACCATGCAGGATTCAGCAGTGCAGTTGATTCCCGCTAATGTGTCTATGAAGTCTAGTGCTGTTCAGGGGACAGGATCCAGAATGAGAGATGGGAGATTTAGGTCTCAGTTCCTATTTTACCACTGAATTACCTCAAATAAATCTTTTGGCTTCAAACCTCCAGTAAATGTGTGGTTTATATCATCTCTTAAAATGGCTTGAAGCTCTTTCTGTTTACTCTAACCTTGTTAATCTGTCTCCATTTATTTCCATTACTCATTTTCTGATCTTTAAGTCTCGTTACCTGTTTTATTTAGGTTTTAATGCAATTGCCCTGTTTGACACGAGTTGATCCCTCGTGTGGGTGTCACATCCGACTTCTTACTGTGGATTTTAACCCCTGTCCCTTCAATCAGTGGAGGGAAGAGTTCAGGAAAGGAACTCAGCTCCCCCAGCTTCAGGGGATTGGGGATACAGAAGTCCCAGTTACCCAGGGGCTAGAGAAGGCTGAAGTCAGTATGTCACATTGGGGGAGAAAGGGACGGGATGAATTAGCCTTCTCTGACCCCTGAGTCACTTCTGGCAAGTGGGGAAGAGGAGACGTTAACAGTGCAGCAGTGCTTATTAAAAGGCCAGAGGGGGCAGAGGACAGGCTCCGAGAAGAGACCGCACACACTTCCTGCAGGGGGCACTGAGGTGGCTGCCCGGAGCAGGCGCAGGCAGCCGCCGCTGCAGTGACCCTGTCCTGACCTCGGCGCCCGGGCCTGGGCAAGGCGGCGGTCGTCTTTCGTTCACTTCTTCTGCGGCCACCAGTCAGACCTCAACGCACTACCCCGGGGCTTGCTCCTCGGGAAGCGCAGCGGCCACAGGCGGGCACTCCGACTCCGGCCCCCGCGAGGCTGCAGGGAGCTGGGAGGAACGCGGTCCCCGGCCCCGGAGGGCGTCAGAGCCCGTGGGGACCCCCTCTTCGTCCCCGCGGCCACTTCTCACCTGCGCCCCCCGTGACCCCGCAGCTGCGACGGCTCTGCGCGCCGCCCACAACCCGGCGACCAGCACCACGGCCGCCGCCATCTTCCCGGAGCCGCGGGAACCTCTCCCCGGGGTCGGCGCTCGGCTCTGCGGGCTGTCGGGCAGCGGGCGAGCGGCGGCCATTGGCTCAGTCGGTGGCCGGGACGAGCCCTGCCATCCCATTGGAGCGCGCTCCTGGGAATTATTCACCGCATTGGATCCGCCGCCACTTTAGAGGCGGGACCTTTCATCCCATTGGCGGCTTCTGCCAACTCAGGGCCAGTTTTCCTCCCCGTTGGCTTCGTCGTCTAGTCAGGGTGCAGGTTCCTTTCCCATTGGATCCCCTAACTAGTTTCGCTGGGAGATAAACTTCACTCCACGGGAAGGGCTACGGGAGCTACAGGCGGGATCTTCTCCTGGCGGGACCTGGTGCACGACACTGGCCCGGCTTAGGCTGCGGCTCCCGACTCGGTGGGGCTTTTACGTCTTTGGCTCGTCCTATTCAGCTCTGGGCGCTACTGGTGGGCTGGAAGCGGCCAAGGCTCGGTCACCTGCTGCGCGAAAGACTAAATACTAACTAAATACTTCGGACCCTTCCACCGCGCTGGCCAGGCGGCGGGCGGGCTTCTGAGGGCACTGGGCGCTTACTGGCTCCGGGACGCACCCGGGCGGGCTAAAGGTGATCTGGAACAGGGTCGTTTTTCCAAGTGGTGGGGTCGATACCCAACATTTTCTCCACAAAGGCAGTTCAGTTCCTCCAGCATGTTAAGGATTTTAACTTACTCGTCCAAGGGCAATCCCTCCTTAATTTTATGTTCTTGTTAACACATTCACTCCAGTTTTCAGAGCGATTTTTGCAACAGGCGGGGATGGGAGCATCCTGTCTTTGTCGTGTTGTTAATAAGCAAAGGAGTATTTATCCAATTTTCTTTTCCCATCAGAAAGGTGTGTGGTACCGTTAGCTCGGTGCCTGGCACTTTTGGTGTCGGGTTTGCTTTGCTGGACTACATATTTTTGACATGAGAAACATGAGGTTACAAAATACTGATATACTCAGACACACCAAGTAAGTTTTAGTCTGACCTTTAACACATAGGACAAGTTACCACTGTATTTTTAGTTTAGCACATGGTGTGACACATATAGGTGCTCAATAGTTGTTAAATAATAACATTCATAATATGTTATAATATGTATTGTATATTATATTATTCTCCCGCTTACAGTTTTTCATATTATTACATAGTCTATGTAAATATACTTTGTAATGGTTGTGTAATATTTCCTTGAATGAATTTATCATAGTAACCCTTCCTCTGTTGTTGACTATCAGTTGAATTAATTGTGATTGGTTATCATGGCTCATATAACCAGTATTGAGGAACTCTTTACTTCCAAAGATAATACAATTTCTTTTGGATAGCTATATTGTTATTAGAAAGTGTTTTCTCCTCCAAAGGGCAGACATCTAATCCTGCGATTTTCCTCAAGGGTCTTAGCAGTCCAGGCTGCATTCCTTCCTTTGGAGGACAGATGGCCTCCCTAAATGTGAGGAGATGTAGAATGGCCTCTTCTCTGTGCCCCAGAGGCTGCAGTTCTCTGTGGTGAACTCCAGGATACTGGGAGACCCTAGAGCTACCCTGGTGAAGGCAAGAGATAAGTGCAGCTGGGATTTAGGAGGAGGAAGGAAACCAGTTGGGAGGAGTTGGTGAGTATAAAGCACCTTGAAACTGGTATTTCCTTGGGTTTTCATAGAGAGCAGGCAACACAGAGGTTATTCCTGTTTTACGGATCCAGAAACTGCAGCCCGAAGAGGGAGAGTGACTTGCCTGTGGTCACAGAGCCTATTAGAGTCAGAATCTCCTACTCTCATAAGAATCATCTATGGATGTTCTAGTCACTCTCCACATTCACTGATTTTGACCCCTGGCCTACAGTCTTCTCTACTGCATGCACTTGTTTTCACCTGCAGCTGCTCTCATTTGAAAGCTGCAAAGCTCTGTAGACTCTGACTGCTGTCTCCTATACTTCAGTCCCTGTCATTACATCTGCTACTGGATGTCATTAGAGACTTCTATTTCTTTGACTGCTCTTTTTTCAGTCTGTCGATTGCTTCCTGGCTTTGCTTTCTTTCCCTGTTTGTGTGGTCTACTCTCTCCTCCTCCTCATGCCTTCTTCTTTTGCCTTATTTTCCTGATTATCTTCCTTGACACCTACCCATCTCCACCCATTAATCTAAATATTTTGCTTCTCTGCTTCTCTAACCAGGTTCTCGCTTCCAACTGTATCTGAATCTTATACTACTCACTGATTAGGTTTTTCTCCAATTCCCCACATAAGTCTTCCCAAACCTTCACCTTTCTCTTCCTATCTCCTTCTCCCCACTCTTATCCCTTTTCTTCCCCACCAGCAGTTGTCCTTATCTCCTGCTTCACAGGGAATACAGAAGCTATCAGAAGGGAACTTCCACAAGATCCTGTTCCCTGAAGCTCAGTGGAGGCCCCATCCTTTCTTCCATCCTCTTGGTCTTAGGAAGTGGTGTTTCTCCTGTCCTCCCTTCACCTTTGCCTTGATCTCATCCCCTCCCTCCATCTCTGGGATCTCATCTCACCAGACATCTCTCCTCTCTCTCTCTCCTGTATCTTTCAAGGTCTTTTTTTCTCCTGGCCTCTTCCTCTTTTCCTTCCTAAAAAGTGCTTCCTTGACTCCACATTTCCCTCCAGATATTGTCTGACTTCTCCTCTGTGCTTTTCATCCAAGCTTCTTGAAGAGACTCCTTCAAACTGACTGCTGTTTGGCTTCTGCTTCCACTGCACTAGTGTGAAACTGCACTCTCTGCAGTCCCCAAAGACCTTCCAATTGCAAAGTCTAATGTCTTTCAGTCTTTATCTTACTGGAGCCACAGCTGCATCTAACATCACTGCTCACTCTGTCCTTGAAATTTCCTCCCTCCTTGGCTTCCTTGAAGTTACTCTCCTTCTGATATCAGAGCCAGCAGCTTGAAAGTGAGCGTGATGGAGACAGATAGCTGGATCCAGCCTCTGTCCTGCCCCCAGTAGGTGCTGACTCTGAGGTCTTAGGGTGTCTGTCCCTGGGCGGGGCTCTACCCACCCCATACAGAGCCAGGTCAGATTTCTGTGACTTCTGCTTTACTGCTGATCTGGGCCAGGCTCACAAAGGCCTGCGCCAGTTGTTGACAGTGTCTGTCCCTGGAGGAGGGAAGAGCAAAGGTGAAAGGGTTAGGTTCGGGGGTCAGATGTGGGGTCAGGGTGGAGGATGCATGGGCCAGGGAGCCCAGGGGGACTAAGATGGGACCTGGGATGGCCAGAGGGCCCGTGCATCTGTAGGGCCACGAAATCAGAGTTGTTGAGTGTGGCTTCTTGGAGGACAGGCATCTCTGCAAAAGGCACATAGTCTGCTCCTGGGGGTGAAAACCAGTGCAGGCATGGGACATGAGGGGTGGTGGTGACGGTGAGGGAGTTGGTAGTCCTGGAGAGGATGGTTGAGGGGGAAGTGCCTTCTTGCCTGGTCTTCTGACTACAGACCCTGGAATGGTCCCAGGTTGCTCCCTCACCTTGAGGCCTTCCTCCTCGTCGCCGGGTCTCCCTGGTCTCAAAGAAAGTCTCATGTTCCTCCCAGCACCGGTCACAGGCCGCACAGAGGAAATTAGACTCAAAACAGTTGCAGCAACAGCCTGGAGCAAAAGGCAGCCCAAAACAGTACGGGTAACTGGGTCATCCCGATGGGCTGACTACATGCTCACGTCTTCCTTACCAATCACATGCCCAAGTCTCCTACCAGCTCCCCATCCTCATCCCCAAACTATTTGTATCCTATCCCCACTCCTCCCCTTCCCCTATTCTCCCCTTGCCCTAGAAGGTACCATGATGCTTGCAGGGATGGGACCCAGTGGCTGCATGGTCTTCATGGCTGTGTTTGCAGCGACATTGGGCTCTCCAGGCCTTGGGGTCGAAGGTGGCCCGTCTCTTGAGCCAGAATTCACCCACCTCCTCTGGGCGTGATGGGATAAAGCAGAACATGAGGCAGCGGCACTGGCTCACATGGCAGGGTACGGATATGTCTATGGGAATGGGGATGGATGGTGGGGTTAGACCAGCACCCGATAGGGCTTGGCCTTCCCGTGCTTACCACCCTCCCATGTACACACACACACACACACACACACACACACTTTTTGTCATATGTCCCAAGACATGACGGAGTACAGTTATCCCTCCACACTCAATGGTCTGGTCAGTTGTCCCCTACCTGAGATGACCTGGTGCTCTCTCAGCAAGTGACCACAAAAGCAT